GCCAGAGTATGAAGAATGTTCAGGTGACTCTCGTTTTCCACGGAGATTGCGTTCGTACGAATCGCCGCGCATAACGATAGCGTTATGTTTTCTTTGCTGTGCAGATGGAATGCTTCACATTTATATGAGCATCAGGTTCAGAGGGCGATAAAAGTAATGCAATTCCAAAACCAAAAAATGATCTTGTCACTTGCGTTACTTTTTCATCCAGTTATGTAGTATTATTGGAGACACATTGTAGGACGACTCCGTTAATGGGAAACGAGGTCTTGGAGTGGGGGTGGCGATTTCTCATCTCCACAAACATGTGTTAAGTTTAATATTTTGAGAAACCCTTTCAAATGCTTGGTTGTCGGAAGGAATTTTTTATCGTGAAATGTTTAAATAGGGAGATATGGTTAATAGTTTATTGAAATGGACGTTATGACTTAGTGGAGTGACAAGTTTGTGTGTATTTTCTCAGGAACGAACTTTTTATCAGTTGTGTTATCCCTCTGATTTATACTAAGATGAAATAGGTTCAGCAAGTAAATATCATATTCCAGCCGCCAGAACCTTTTCGATGTAGCAACTCTTACATTACTATCAGAAGGGTATACCTTTATATAAATTACAGACTTCCATGAACGAAACTTTATCAATTCCTCATTTATTCCCTCTCTCTCAGGTCCCAGTTTTATTTAGCTTTTCGTATCGGCACTTAACGTTTTATGATATGTTTTATATGATTCATTTTGAAAGTATCACTTTTCTTATCTTCTGGCATAACTTGCGACCCATGACATTTTACGTATAGTTATACTCTAAATACCAATGGTTCAGACGAGGCATGATAGAATGACTTTTGGGAAGTTTCGTTTCAGAAATCGAGGCGATTTGTGGTTTTGTTCCGGATTATAACCGACTTCATAATAATTATAATTGCTTGTCCTGCGTGTGAGTTGCTGACGGTCAATAGTACGAACAGCTGCAAAATCAGGTTGGCTTTGCAACTGGATGACGGTTGTTGTAGGTAATATCACTTATAGTGAGAGAAAACTTCTGAATGAAGGTCCTTTCCTAATCAAAACGTTTGAGCAACTTTACAGAAAATCGGTTCCTCATGTACACGTTTCAAAAAAGCAACTAGATTTCCATTGAAAAACTGGATTAGTTGAAGCTGAATTGCAGTTTCCAGTTGCCTTGGTCTGAACCCATTTTTACACTTGTCCTGTTCGTTGATTGTCTACCGACTATCAACATATGCTGTGGTCTATTTATATCCGATGTCTACGGTATACAGAGCCTACATTTCGAATTTAAATTGTATTTTATAGAAATTCCACATACTATACTCTCATGTTAATGGCATGAGTCATGTATCCATGTACAACATCCCAGATTACTCCTACAACACGTAATAAAGAACGAACAAGTCGCATTGGATCGTAGCCTGCATTAATTTGAAATTCATGTAGGGTAAAATTGCTTTGTAAATGGGCGTATTTGTGGGACGCACAGGGAGTGGGAGAAAGTGGTGGGTTATGAAATAACTTTTTTAAAAATAATTTTTAGTCTTTTTTGCGAATTCGCATGGTAGCCCACATCAACTCCCATTTTACTTTTCATTCCCGTGAAAAGGGTTACGAGATTTATTCCACTTTCCGGCAACAGAACTGGACTTCGCTGGAGGGGTGGAAATTTATGTTCTAGTCATAAAAATGTCTCCGAGGGTCCATTTAAATGGCGGGGGTGGAAGATGGTGGATTTACAAGTGTGTTCTTTGTCTGTGGTAGATTAAGAAAGCTTAATTCAGTGACTTTTGTAACGTGATATAAAACGTGCTACTAGCATAATTCGATGAAGAGAGATGGAATATATTGCCAAATAATCTTGCTAAGATTTGGAATCTAGAAAGTACCTGATAGTATCTGATAACGGGAGTAAAGCAAACTCCCGCAACGTCGTGTGTGGCAAATATATTTCAGATAATGTGAAGTATTTAACATATGCTTAATATTGGTGCAATGTAATCGACAATTATTTACAAAACTTTAAATACAGTGACGATTAAATTCAACGTAAAAATGTGTGCTTCGAATAAATCCGAACGTTTTTGTTAGTACTTCTGTTTCATAACGTAAGATACCTACTTCGAATCCCAGTAGGAGGACCGCATTTCCTGACATATTTTTCGTATAGCCAGTCAGCCACATCTAATTTATTGCAAATAACTAACACAGTCAGGGACGGGGCGTTTATTTTAACTGTGTTAGCCTGACTAACACTTTGAAAAAATAAAACAAAATATTCTGTATCATTTTTGTGGTTCAGTAGCATTCCATACATTGGAACATAGTAGAGCCTACCAGATAAAGTGCGTCGTTAGCTAGCTCCGGCCAGCCAGGCGTTAATTATTTTATGTAGTAAAGACTGTAACCTGTGAATAGGTCCAACGTTTTAAGGTCTTGTGCACCCGAGCTTTGCACCTTTTCATGTATCCTGCGCGTTAGGATCCTGTAACCCGCGTGGAAAAGAGAAGAAGAAGAAGAAGAAGAAGACGAATGAAAGGAGTGCGGGTAGATATTTTTCAATTCAAATTCTGACATATTCTTAGTGAAGCATGTAACCCAGTAGTTCTTTCAAATGCAACCAATACGTGCCTCTCGGAAAACGAGTTTTTATCGTAGAGAGAATATTTCATTTATACACGCTGGTTATATTCCTCGAGATAAACGTGCCTGTATGGACTTAATATTGAGACCCAAGTGTCAATATCTTGAAAGATATTTCGATTTTATTCTCCGTATGGAATGAATGGGGAGTTAGCAGTGAGTCATTTCATGTGGATTATGTACTTATATGTGTACTTACTTGCACACGACTTTCACGAACAAACCGTGGTTCAGCCTGTGTCGCGACTCTATTTATTTGGTCGGATTATCTCTTATTCGTTTTACCGACATTTCCTTTTACTTTTTCATATTTAAATTTATGACGGCGGCGTTTATGAAGACAGTCATCGACTTCCTTTTTATTACTATTAGAATAACTATTAAAGTATGGTCCTGAAGGAAGATTAGTTGTTCTATAATTGGTGATGCTCTGTCTTGCAGGTTTATACTTCCAGGCAGTTTTAGGGATTCAATCACCTGTTATCCTGTCCAGACCTTGAATGAACTGTCTTCTGCATTCTCTCATTTTATTGTTTAACTCAGATGTTTTTAATTCTTGTCAGACATCCTCATATTCTATTTTAATCCTCGAACTTTGCTACTGGTCATAGAAATGACTTCTCTGAATTTGTTCACTCATCTGGCAACCGGAAGTCACGTTCTTGGTTATTAGCTTGTGGTTCCCTGCCAACGTTCCAGCGTTATTGTACTTCCAATACAGTTCAATTTTGCAACAGGTGGGTCTGCCCCATTTCATGGCGCTTAATTTCACCGGCACTCTTCAGTAATGAAAAGAAAGAAAGAAAGAAAGACGTGGAAAGGAAATTAAATGAAAGAAGAATTAAAAAAGAAGAAGTTGGAAATGAAACAACATGGCGATAGAAGGAAATGAAACACAAGGTGAAAGATAGAAGAAGAGAACAAGAGAAAGGAGAAATGCTTACATTTCCGCACTCGGAGAGGAGATCAGCAAAATATGTCGCAACCAGTGGTCCGTAAATCGATGTAATAACACTGGCTCTGAGATATGAATAATTCAGTGAAACACATTGTTCACGACTTTGAAACTCTTCATTAATCTTGGCGCAACAAAATACAACATACATTAATCTTCTCGGAAAGAGCAGTCCAGGAAACAAAAGGCTCCTGGAAGAAGGCTATAACCGACATTCCTGTCAAGTAAATCGAGATCCCAGTATCGGCCCTTCGGTAATTGGGTACAGCTCATCAGTAGGATCTCCCGTTGCCCCTGACATCCAGTTCAACTTTATAAGGTATTAGTTCTGATGTCAGTGAAGATACATTCCCACATATTTATGTTCTCATACGATGATTTTTTTAACCTCTTACACACGTTATGGTGTTTCAAGGGCCCCAAACACGATCAGTTAAAATGCGTACGTGTCATGCCCTCAGTAAAATTCCCACTAGGGCTGATCGTGTAATGTGGAAGCTCAAGTTTCTCTTCCAACTTTTTTAAGCTTAGCTAAACTGAACGCCAAATAAATAAACCCTTTCGCTTTTCCCATCTTCAACTAGTAGCAACGGCCAGTACATTACTCAGGTCGTTTAGAAGTCATTACTGAACAATGCACTGTTAATTTATTACGTGTTTGAGAAACAGAGACTTATAGCTCAGTTCAATTAATTTGTGTGTTAGTTTAGCAGTTTAACTGTGAATTTTAACTGATCGTCTTTGGGGCATTTTATGTTTAAAGAAACGTAACTTTCGTTAACTGTATTTTTTTTAACCTCGTGCCCATTTCTTCCTTTCTTTTATCCATTTCATGCTTTTATTTCCTTATCTCCTTTCCAGATTTATCTGGTTCTGGAAAGTGGAAGTTCGGTTTTGTGAGACTCCAGGTCCACACGCAAATTTTGCCACACTCTGATTTAATAATAAGTGCTAATGATAAAAAAAGGATTTTATTGTAATTTTCTTTGCGGATCTCAGCATCTAGAAATAAATACGCTTAAGAAATAAGTTTTAGATATTGAAATCATTCCAGTAACTAAAGGCTATAACAGAGTTTGAATGCATGATTATGACATTTTCATGTCTTCGCAAAAATGATGAGGTGAAGTTGTTAACACTTCTGCTTCATATTAAAGAATTCCTGGCTTCATATTCAGGTCAATCACCAGTTGTCGTGACTCAGGCATTCTGGTTTGGAAATGCATTCAAGCAAATTCTAGGATGCTGACTTTAAATAGGCCACGGCCGCTAAATTATAATCATTCAAATTCATCATTTGCTGTCATCCTGACACTGTATAATCTGAAAATAATTGTGAAATCATCGAACTGTAAAGTGATAGTGACAATTACTTCTTTCTTCTTCCACAGTTCTGTGTGGCGTGGGAGTCGACGTCGCCTTCCATCATCACGCAGTGGGCATCTACGTCATGTAAGAATCTTTCCCACATTTCTGTGGAATATAGTTAAGACCAATTTGATATCTTATCTGTAAGTACGGAACCCGAAGAATTCTACTGTCAATTTTAATACATGAATTGTCTCTACTAGCTGTTGTAATCTGGATCTTAATTCAGCTGAATGTTATAATTTTAGTACGTGTTATAAATGCCGCATTTAACCTCAATCCCCCCTGCAGGAAAATTCCGTTTCAGTACTTTATATTGGTCCACGAAAAAACCAATTCATTATTAATCAGAGATTAGATCATGTAAGTTCTTGAAACCCCGCCTATATTAAATATAACTCTTTACCAAGATCCTGTTTTCGAACAAGTGTATATAATTCGGCCTCAGAATGAAACTTTTTGATCGAATCCTTGTCCTGGACGAGGAGGGTCCTTCAGTTAAGATAGATCATGGCCCGTTTAACCCCAGTTTAGATTTCGCAACCTAGGTTCCGAAAGGTTGCTATTGGTGTCCATTGTAATGCAAATCAGCTAATTTCCTCGGCACATTCGTGTGCTAATGTAATTCACGTGTATAGAAGGGAAGGAAAAATTTGAATTGCACATAAATTTAGTTGCATTATCCAAAACCTCGCAACAGTTCGCATGCTGAATGCGAAGTATGCAGGCAGTTCTCCGTGACGTCTCTCTCATCGCTAATGCCCCCAGTTATTGATGATGCCTTGATTAATTGCGAACGAGATGTCGTGGTTTTTATAAAACTTTTCATTTCTTTTCGGCACACAGCGCATGCGTACAGCGGGTATGAGAGTCTTCATTTGCAGGCGACCCTCGTCCATTTCCTTTCGACACCCCGCTCTCAAAACACCACCATATTTTCGCCCCATAAATTGTAAGACCACGCAAAATAGTTACAGTTTTTCACTTAAGTAAAAACACTTTTTAATAATTTAACTTCTTTAAAACTGTTCAGTTATTATGACCTGTTTCTTAAACATTTCATAATCTGGTTATTTTAATATAAAATATCACAATTTTTCTTTTGTGTTTGGAAGTGCACTTGTGCGGTTTTTATCTTAGCTGAACGCCCTAGGTACGAAGTGCCTGTAACATACATGGGCTTCCTTGCCTTTCATCTTTGACAGAGAGGGAAATATTTGAAAGAAATCAGCTTGTAAGAGATCCAAGTGTAGGTCTGACGTCTGCTTTTCGATCAAGTTTTCATCGAATGCTTCAATGTGTTATCCTTCCGGCTGTGTGTCTGCGTCGTGATACTGTGCATTAAGGTTGTGACACACCGGAAACTTCTTTCTAAATTTTCACTCTTCAAAAACTACAACATGGCGCCTCTGCATATATCTCAGCGTCGTATATTTCTATCAGAATCCAATAAATGAGTTATTCATATGCCTTGAAACAGCATAGCAAAACTAAAGCGTAACTTAGGTAAGAGTGCCCTCTGGTTGTATTATATCCCTGAAAAGAACTGCTATACTTATCAACCCCGGAGGCGTTCCAAAGAGTGAAGGTGATAAAATATATTACTTATATCAGGCATTCAACATAGGTCCATTACAGAATTTTAATAAAACTATTGTGTCAAATACTTTTAAATGTAGCGTATTAAAATTTTGTTTGCGTCACTTTCGTTGTAAACGGAGAATAGTAACATGGTAGTTGTATGAAATATGGGCCTACAAATATTCAAGATTGATTTTTAAAAAAATACAGCGCTGTACAACATTGTAATCTGCATAGTTGTGTTTCTGTTTGTCCTGACAGTGCGAAATTTTGAAGTTATTTGAAACTTATCAAGGAAACGTGCCTGTAATATGTAGGATTTTAGGATTTCTCGGAGGCTTGTGGGTTGTGTCGTTTAGTCTATCGATTATTATATTCTGTTTATAATAATTCTGCTGTGTTGTAAGAAGTACATGAACATAGTGGTCCATGGATGAATGATTACAAAATAGCCTTAAATATTGTCCCAAAAGACCCATCATCCCTTAACAGTAAATGATTACCAACTAATCCATTAAGATACAAACACTTGCTAAATAAGTAGATTGACAGCATCTTGGACGAACAACTCGTCATTCGGCAGTCATAAGTTGCAAGTCGTTTTTCGGGTACAAGTTGCAGGGGCGTTATCAACAGAGAGACTGGACATTCTGGAGCAGAAAGGCCTTGCTGGACACAAGACACGGGAACCGGCGTCCAGCGAAGGCGCCACACGGCGGTGGCTGTGACAGCGACGTGTGCCATAAGGAAACTAATTATCCCTCCATTGAAGCAATTACTTTGATGTTCCACAAAGGGGGCGTAATTTCCAGTCAGACAATTGTGGTCGGAACTTGTAAGGAATCATGACGTCACAGGACCTGTGTGTGTGCTTTCTACGTGTCTCCCCATCTCATTAGCCTTGAAGTATTTAGTAAAAATGCAAATTATGAAACTCGTTATAATGCAATTTTCTGTCTGCCGATACGTTTTCTTTCTGAAGCTCAAATATTCTCCTCATTGTGCTCTGAAAAGCTATAAATCTATATTCTTCCCTGACGAAAGTGATTCATGAAATTTCAAACCGTGTATTATACATGACATTCGTCTAATTAAGTTCTGTGACAGTTCTGAAGGGTCTTTCATTAGGAGAGTGCTTAGTGAGATGATAATGAAATTGTCTGAACTGAAGCTCTAAACTTGTTTTACCAAAATGACGCAAACAGTCGATTTAGTTTTGTTCTCATGATAGTTACGTTACAGGGAACTCATCTTCCAGCGATATAATCCACTTACGTCACGTGCTGTTCGCTGTTTTCCTGTCAGACTGACTTCAGTTTATCAGAATCTTCTCCTTTGCCTTTTTCAGAATCGGGGCTGTCGTAGTATTTTTCTGCGAGGTCACGTGGGCTGTGACGTTGTTCCTTCAAGTGTGCCTCAGGTACGTACCGCCAATTTATTCCTCCTTAGCACTGTTTCCACAACAGTTCGTATTTCTTCGTACCATAAATATTTTTCTTATGAAAATTCATAATATGTTTGGATTAGAAAGTTCCTGTATTGTAATAAAAACAATGTAGGCCTAAACACCGAAATCTATCCCCCAGGGCACAACCCTGAATGATCGTGAACCACTTTCATCCAATTCACATCTTGAAACGTATTTTTCTAAAATATGTTTTAGTAATGTAATCTCATCTCCGTCTTCGACTTCCAAGTAATCACACTCGTAGAGTTCTTTTGTGTTTCTGTCTCGTTTCTCACATTCGGATTACATAGTCCCAACAACCTTTCCACTGCCGCAGACTGCATTAACTCTTCATAACTTTATCGAGGGCAGCAGAAAAGAAATTAATAATGACGTGGACATTTTAACCACCGTGATTACCTTAAACCTTACGTAAATAAATGGTTTCACACAACGAACGGTGGTTTATATTTGGTCTTGTAAATCTGTGAAAGAAACTGAAAGAGGACGGAATATAGAGAGACGTAGAATGAAGATATATTTTGTTAATTCAGCAATACGATATTTTCATATAAATTGAATTCTCCGTTGTTATAGCTAATTCGTTGCACAGCAGCTGCGGTAACCAATTAACATTCATCCTGGGAAGGGTGGGGTATAATTAGAGTTCTCCTTTTGTTCAACGATTTGCAGTCCTGTGTCCACTGAACGTGAGTTGGCCTCAGGTGGAACAGGTATAACTCGCAGCAACAATGACATTTGACCCTCTATGAATCCAGGGAATTCCTTTAAGCAGAGAATTTTCTTTACCTTTTCCCCCATCCTGGATTTCGCAGCACGCTGCTATGTTATCTATGTGGCTAGAATATCCCCTATCCTGGATTTCGCAGCATGCTGCTATGTTATCTATGTGGCTAGAATGAGACGTCAGTGAATCAGGGCGAGAGAACAATAGTGCAACTGTAGAAACACTGATATACCCAGTGCGGAGGTGTAGGTGAATAAAACTGTAGGGCCTAACTGCTGTTTCAATGGTTTATTTATTTCGTCTCCGGCCTGTTCAGTGTTCTACACGCTCTTTTCCGGTGCTGGTGAAACTGTTTTTGATTTGAATGCAAAGAACGCTGATGAACGGCCAGCGTTGTAATTTTGTTTCCTTTGTCATTCTGAATCAAAGCCCCCTGAGGAACAGAAATGCAGGCCTGAGTTTGTAATTTGATAAAACTCAATAGGTATGACTGACTACATAATCCAATCTCATCGCAAGCCTTCCATTGCCCGTCCAGCCGCTGTCTGCATCAGCTGCAATTGACAGTTTGAAGCGCCATTGTCCCTTTCCCTAACACTTGATGCTCTTCTTTCACAACTGTCATCACAAGAATGCGACGGAAAAGGGTCCTCAAGCTCGGAAATTTGTCTCTTCTAGTAGTTATCCAAAGAAATGTCGACTCAATTTCAAAAATTATGGTTTTGAATCCTCGCAGGGGATGGGCTAGTTAAAGTTTTCTGTCGTTTTCTTCATTTCCTTCAGAAAAATGCCGCGATAACATATTCACCAGGACCACTTTCTCCCAGTTACTTCCTGCACGCTGTTAATGTCACTCCATCTCCAAATGAAAAACCTAGCGTCGCTGTCGAATGGTTAGCATTCC